AAAAAAAAAATCAGGAAATAATTATTAAATGAGTCCTAGAGGCAGCAGATAGACTTGAGAAGAAGTTTGGGATCCTTTTGCTTTAAGAAAGAGGAAGAACAGGAATGGTGGATAAAGATGTGGATAAATGTGGTAAAAAGGAGGACAATTGGATTTAATACCTGATAGACTCTCTTTATGAGCTAAGATGTTAGAACATTTGCTAAGAGTGACAGGTCTGAGTGCATTGGATTGGAAAATGGAATTAATTAATTCATCACTCATTCAGCAAATGTTATTGAACCTCTACTATGAGGTATTTCAAAAAGTTCATGGAAAGATTTGTATTATCTTTTTTTTTTTTGTCCTCTTCATGACTGGTAAGGAGATCGCAACCCTTGGCTTGGTGTCGCCCGCACTGCGCTCAGCCAGTGAGTGCACCGGCCATTCCTATATAGCATCCGAACCCGTGGCGGGAGCATCGCTGTGCTCCCAGCACCGCACTCTCCCGAGTGCACCATGGGGCCGGCCCTTATATTATCTTTTAATTCTATTTTTCAATGAACTTTTTGAAGTAACCTCATATGTGCCATCAGTACGCTAAGCACTGAGGTACAAAGACAAATAAGTCATGGTTCTCTTGCGGAAACAGCAAAAGAAATAGATGATTACAATTAAGTGCCTTGATAGAGGTCTGCACAGGTGCTTTGTAAGCATACAGGAGGTGTAACTAATTCAAGTTAAGAACTAAGGAAAGGGTATTATAGGTAGAAGGAACAGCAATGACTTCAGGAACATAGCAGCAAGATATATGCAGGAATTGCACATAGCATTTAGCCTGGGTGCAGTACAGATGTTANTATCCACCTAAATGAATTTTCAGATAAACAAAGGTAAATGAATGCTTTGAAGGCAAAAAAACCACTTTACTTTTAATCTTAGAAAAAAAAAATCCTTCAACAATGTTTTATGTATTACCTTTTCCTTAATGATTTGGGTTTATCATTACCAACATGAATTTCTGTATTATGTTCAGTTCAGTAAACAGTTTTAAACATCTACTATTTGCCATTCTTTCTACTAAGTGTGAGGGAACAGAAAAATGAGGCACCCCGCCTGACCTCAGAGAGGAACCTACAGCTGAGTGAAGCCAACAGATAATCTGCAATAAGGGACCAGGAGGAAGGTGAAGGCAAGTAGAAATTCTGGTGTCCCTGTCACAGGACAGAGGCTAGGGAGATCAGGAAAGAAAAACAGGAAAATAATATGACCTGTTTACAGGATTTTAGACCCTATTATGTGCCAGGCATTTCACTCAGCACTTCACGTACATTATATCTCGAAACACTCACAAAACCCCTGCCAAGATACTGATACTTCCCTTCTACAGGCAAAGAAAGAGATTAAGTCCTATAAAGGTCACCCAATAAGTGCAGAGCTGNCCTCTACTATGAGGTATTTCAAAAAGTTCATGGAAAGATTTGTATTATCTTTTTTTTTTTTTTTTGTCCCCTTCATGACTGGTAAGGAGATCGCAACCCTTGGCTTGGTGTCGCCCGCACTGCGCTCAGCCAGTGAGTGCACCGGCCATTCCTATATAGCATCTGAACCCGTGGCGGGAGCGTTGCTGTGCTCCCAGCACCGCACTCTCCCGAGTGCGCCATGGGGCCGGCCCTTGTATTATCTTTTAATTCTATTTTTCAATGAACTTTTTGAAGTAACCTCATATGTGCCATCAGTACGCTAAGCACTGAGGTACAAAGACAAATAAGTCATGGTTCTCTTGCGGAAACAGCAAAAGAAATAGATGATTACAATTAAGTGCCTTGATAGAGGTCTGCACAGGTGCTTTGTAAGCATACAGGAGATGTAACTAATTCAAGTTAAGAACTAAGGAAAGGGTATTATAGGTAGAAGGAACAGCAATGACTTCAGGAACACAGCAGCAAGATATATGCAGGAATTGCACATAGCATTTAGCCTGGGTGCAGTACAGATGTTAGCAGGGATGAGGCTGCAGAGACAGGCACAGTCATATTGGAGAGGACATTGTAGACCACACCAGGGAGCTTTGCTGTGATCCTCTGGGCAATGCAAACTGAAGATTTTTAACAGGAAACAGCATCATAATATCTGTATTTCAGAATGACCACTCAGGCAACAGAGAAAAAATAAAAAGGGGGTGGGGTGGGGAGGAATGGTGGAGACAAGACTTTGACAGCTTTGCTGTTGAGATATCTCAAATACGAGGTTTAAACCTGAGGAGCTCCATTTTTAAATGAACAATAACAAAATAGAGTTGTCCAGAAAGGCAACAGAAATACCTGAGCAGTCTGGCTAATATAACTTAATATTTTAGCTCACAGAACAAAATTATGGGAAGACAGAGTTGTCTCCAAACCTTTGAAAAGCTATCCTGTAGAAGGAAGAGTGTAGACTTGCTCAGTGTTCTTCAGAGGATGGAACTAAAACCAGTGGGTTTTCAGGAAATTTCAAGAAAGGAGAACAAGGAGCATCATACAATGCTTTAACAATTTTAACAATTAGAATGTCCTGACAATGAAACAGAACTACCTCAGGTTCCTTAATTGTAAACCAAAAGCATTATATTTAATGATCTCTCAGATCCATTACTAAAATTCTATGTTTCTGGGAATAGAAGCTAAAACGTGTTTATTATGTATTGCAATAAGCTCTAGTCAGTCTTTCTGTCTAACTTTTAAGTAATGCAGTGTACCTGTGTATTCTTAAAAAGCAATGCCCATACTGTACATGCATTGTGAAAATTAGAAGAAGCCTAAGATGGGGAAACTCAGTTTCAGTCAAAACAGTGAATCAAGAATGAGACAAAGCCACAGAGACAGGAGCAGAAGTACAAACAGCAGACTCAGCACATAGCTCTAGTTATCTACCAATGAATCGATTATTTATGTATTCAGCATGGAAAGAACTGCAAATCATCCATTAACCTTTCCAGTCATTGTGGTATCTGCATGGTCAGAACAGTCTTTGACTATGAAGATTAACAATTCACTCTAGAGTGAAAATCCTTATTAACATTTATTCTGGGGGACAGGATTAACATCTTCCTGGGAAGCTGTTAAAATAGGCTTTTATTGTATGTTCAGTGATCCTGATTAGTCAGAGTAGGATTATCCACCTAAATGAATTTTCAGATAAACAAAGGTAAATGAATGCTTTGAAGGCAAAAAAAGTTGGTCTTGTGGTAAGCCTATGTGATAGATACAAAAGTAAAGAATCCAACATAAGAGAAACATTTGCAATAAGGGACCAGGAGGAAGGTGAAGGCAAGTAGAAATTCTGGTGTCCCTGTCACAGGACAGAGGCTAGGGAGATCAGGAAAGAAAAACAGGAAAATAATATGACCTGTTTACAGGATTTTAGACCCTATTATGTGCCAGGCATTTCACTCAGCACTTCACGTACATTATATATCTCGAAACACTCACAAAACCCCTGCCGAGATACTGATACTTCCCTTCTACAGGCAAAGAAAGAGATTAAGTCCTATAAAGGTCACCCAATAAGTGCAGAGCTTGGATTCAAATCCAAATCTGCAATGGCTCTACAGTCTGTGATCTTTTCATCATGCTGTGGCCGCTCGAAACACTCACAAAACCCCTGCCAAGATACTGATACTTCCCTTCTACAGGCAAAGAAAGAGATTAAGTCCTATAAAGGTCACCCAATAAGTGCAGAGCTGGGATTCAAATCCAAATCTGCAATGGCTCTACAGTCTGTGATCTTTTCATCATGCTGTGGCCGCATAAAGGAAGTAGCATTTGTGCTAGATCTTGAAGGAAGTGGAATTGGCCTGTATAAGGAGAAGCATATTCCAAGAGGAGTCTGAGGGAGGGCATGAGGGTGCCTGCACTGCAGGAGGAAACAATGATTCCAAGCCAGCATCAAGGGCCATGAAGTTGGAATTGAGTGCTCATTTTATGGACAAGAAACTGTATGGACTGATCCTATCTTGTCTCAATTTCCTGCTTACCTTGGTCAACACTGCAAGTCCAAGCTTCCTTTTCCCCACTGTAGACCTGACTTTTATTCTTAAAGTTTTCTATACATCCCCTTATTGACTCCAATCCCCAAACCTAACTTCCTTCCTCTCAATCCTTTCACTGATCCCTCTAGAAACTCTAGATCAGCGATTAGCAGACTACTCTGTATGTCAAGCCTATCCTCAAGGTCCTCTATCTCACCTAACCTAGCTATGTCTTGAGGACTCCAACTCTTTTTGAGTCTTTTTCCCTTGACTATCACTGTTGAAGCTCTTCAGAGCTATATACCTTAGACTCTTTTCTTTTTGCCCCGTATATTCTCCCTGATGCATTTCATTCATTCACATGACTTCACTTACTATCTATATGCCAATAATTTCTAAATCTGTATCTCCAAACTTTATCTTTTTCTTGAGATTCATAATCTAACTGCTCTTTGGAAACTTCCGTTTGGATAACACACATTGAAAACTAAACTCATATCCTAATCTTAAAACATATACCAAAATAAATTTAATATGTATTAAATATTTAAACATCAAATATTAAGCCATATACAAGTAAGTACTAAAAGAAGATGTGGTGAATGTTATGAAACATTAAGATTTACATGGTCTTTTTAACTGTGACATCAGAAATCATAAATAAGAGAAATCATAAATAACAGAAATCATAAATAACAACATCAAAACAAAAAATCTGTAATACCAATTATATCCTAAATAAAACTGAAAACCAAATGAAAATCTGTGAAAAATAATGCACCATCTTTTACAATTTACTGATCACTTTCCTGTCCTGTATTTATAAGTATACACTTTCTACCAATATAAATGCCGTATCTATCTTATACCTTACTATGCATAATCATGAAGTGAAGTGCATTTAATTTCATGGTAGCAGAGGGATAGAGAATTTACTGTTTCAATTCTAGCAATTATGAATCAAACTAAAAAGATAGCTAAGGAAGCAAATATGCAAAATAATCTCAATCTGGGAAGTTGTTTTATCTCTTTACCTATTTATAAAACTATATACATATTTTCCTTTTTACCCTCCATATTTAGAAACTTGGTACCTTTTCTCCCATAATTCCAACATCTGTTACTCTACCAAATCAAATCAAACCTGGAAAAGTGAAAAACATAACTTACAGTAAAAGAGAACCCTTAGAATTTGGAAGTAAAAAAAAAAAAAAGTTACCTGAGACATTTCAGCTAGGTATGTACGGCGTTCATTGTTGGTCTTGTGGTAAGCCTATGTGATAGATACAAAAGTAAAGAATCCAACATAAGAGAAGACTGGCACTACTAAAAAGACTATTACTAAGGTAAGGTTTATGCCTCTATCCTTTTTTAAAAAATGGTGTAGGAAGTATTTTTGTAAGAATTTTGTGATAATTATATAGTAGATTTGTAGGTAACATTGAAAATAATGGCAGTTTCAAAGGAATTGTTTAGTATAGAGTAAAAACAAACCTTTGATTCTTGCTCCAATCTAAGTGAGTAGTCTTTCACTTGATTTTCAAGACTCCTTTTTTCTTTTTCTAGCTGTTTAAGTAATGTATTTAAGGATTCCTGAAAGTATAAATAGTAAATTTCTATATGTATTCACATTCTAAACAACAGTAAATGATCATCAATTTCGTTACTAGTGAATGCCTTCTACAGCTAACATTCTGTGATTCCATAATTCTATAACATGTACCTTCTAAGTAATAGTAATAATCACAATATTTATTGAACTCTAACAATATACCATGTATTGTACTAAGTGCTTCCTATGTATCATTTCATTTAATCCTTGTTACAACTCGAGATAGCTAATATATTTCCCTTTTACTGTTGAGAAATTGCAGCTTATAGAGATTACGTAACTGGCCCCATGACATGCAACTTATAAATGGTGGAACTGTAATTAGAACCCAGATAAAATGACTCCAAAGGCCACATATGCCGAACAACTACTGTATGTGTGTTCATACTATTGCTACCATCGTAACAGAAAAGGTGAAAGCAAAGACATTTAAAGACTACACATTATTGCTAAGTATATATTTTAAGCCAATTTTTACTTCCTGGTGAAAACTACTTTAGAGATCTACAAGAACAGGATAGAAAAGGCATCCACAAAGAGGGAAAAGTTTAGTGCTCCTTTTTCATAAAAACAGGGAATGGAGTGGATTATTTTGATTTACATCAATAACTCTTGTATTTATACATAATTATAAATTGTTAGAGAAATGCACAATTAAAATATATAATTTTTATCTTCCTACCTGAGCTACACTAGTTTCCCAATAATTCATGAAATAAATGTAAGACAACCCTTAAATAAAAGCTTCAGCTATTTGTGATGAGGGATATCTGGATCAAGGTCTTAATTTCCATAACTGTCCTACTCTGTAATATTCTCACAATTCTCCTGGTTATCCCCTTATTGCTAGTCTACCACTCTACTTCTATCATCTTGGTTTGATAAACAGTCTTATTTTCCTGATCATATTTTTCCTCCTTTTTGTTTCACTGCATCCCCCACAAACTCCAGAACTTTCTTTTCTGAATGTTACTTTTCCTAAAGCCTCCTTCCCCATCTGATTTAGTTTTCCAGAGAGGACGTAGATGTGTACAGTTTCCTGGGTACCACTTACAGAAATGTGGAAAAGCTTTCAAGAATCTTATAATCTCTCTACCTGGCCGACATGCCACTGAGGGCAGAAATCTGTACAGACTTGATGACTGGGGACGAGGAGCTCTGGGGAGGAGGCAAGTGGATGGTCCTAAGGAAGTGGGGACAAAGGGTAAGATCTCTGTATTGCACTTCAATTCTCACCACAGAGAACTCACTACAGAAGAGGTATTAAACCAAGTGGACGAAGGACTTGGCCAGGAGATATCATATGGCTTCTGTCCTTTGTCACCTGAGTACTTGGACAATGAGCTCACAGACTAACCACAGTGGCTGAGATGGGTACTTTGCATTGGTACTACAGAAGAGGTATTAAACCAAGTGGACCAAGGACTTGGCCAGGAGATATCATATGGCTTCTGTCCTTTGTCACCCGAGTACTTGGACAATGAGCTCACAGACTAACCACAGTGGCTGAGATGGGTACTTTGCATTGGCTCAAAAGCATGGGTTCCCTCCCACTGATCTAGGACAGCTGCTGCTCAATGTCTGACCTGCTAGTAAGAGACACCACCATGAACCTCTGACATGGCACCATCCTTTAAGTAGAACAACCAGCCACTTGGTGGCAAGTTGGTTATATAACATGCCTTCCATCCTGGAAAGAGCAACAATTCATCCTGACCTGTGTTACTGATACAGTTTTATATTTCCTACATACAGTGCCTCAGCCAACAACATGCTTTGGTAATCTATCAGTTCTGAGAGGGAAGGGGGTTTTTACTATCCAGAAGGTTTCCTCTGGGTAAAAGACCAAGCTTACCATGCTGTTTCAGGAGGGATTGGCTGGACAGTCAACTGAGTGATGTCCAAAACAGGCAGCCTAGCTTAATTAGTGACTCAAGACATATGACTTGAAGGCAGGATGTCTAGGCATTAAGGCTAAGCATTTGTAACAAAGGGCATCCGTGCTACCACAAGACAACAAGTTGTGCCCATCTGCTGGATTCTTTATGGCTAGACTTATCTGCAGAGCCTGCCCCATGATCACAGAACTGAACATTGGAACATGAAATTGGGAACTTGCCATTGGAACTTTAGTGCATTTGTGGCTTCAGGTAAACACATCAGCTGATTTTAGTTCAATAGACCCAGGTGCCAATTTGCTCTAAATTTGCTTAGGTCTGGGTTGTTTAATCATCCCACACTTTTTAGTTCTTTCTTACACTCTGGGAGAACCATTAACGGGTGCTCTTACAGGGAAACTTTCACATGTGAGAACCTTTTCCAGAAAGTTCATATAGAGAAATAACTGTCCACCCCTCTGTCACTGCTCAGAACAACTTGAATCTAGCATCTAGAAGTGACTTATGGTGATATTTGAACCTCCTCTGCCAACCCTTCAGCATAGGCACATAGTGTCCAGATTACCAAATGCACAGCCTTTGGGGAGGTACGTGATCTCATGCCTAGACAAAAGTATGAGGCCAGCCTCACCAACTGTCACGTAATGCTATTTGAACTGTACCATTATGACTGTGCCAGTACCTAATGAATAATAAACACCTCCATCTTCTTCTGGGTGTGAACAGTACATAATAAGTTGATTTACTGCTGTATTCTGGTTCTCCTACTGGCCTTTGTCCAGGTAGTCTTGGACTCCTAACCCGTGCCACAAAGACTAGTTCCAATACCTAAATGGATGAAAGTGCTACTAGCCTTGAACTTCACTGAGGAATTCAAGTCTCCCTTCAAACGTGCTCTTAATTGTGGCTCAAGCCTTCAGTCATGAAATCCTGAAGATTCCCTACCCCAAATTAAAGGGAAAAGGTGGCTGGAGGGGTGAGGATTGGTTTATACTGGCTAGCCCGATATAGTGTCTTTAAAGAACTGTTCACGTTCTGGGTTCTGCACTCTACATAAAAAGACGATCTAAGCATAGGTCCAGAGGTAGTGGGCTTGGTTCCTGAACTACATATCTGTGCCCAGCTCTAAATCAGTCAGCTTTGGTGGGGGTGAGATATGCTACAGTTGGCCAGTCTATATAAGGTCCTCATCTGTGGACTAATGAGCTCTGGGGGACATATAAGGTAGTAAAACTCCTTTGGTATTAAGCATACGATTGATGGAGGGAGGAAAAATACAATTTTCTCAAGAAAGGGAGTTCTGTTCTAGAAGCAGGGTAAATGCTGATCAAACAAAAATAAGGTGACCTCTTTAAAGGAGATGTTAAGGCCCAGGATTTGGCCATGGTATATGGGTTGCTGAAAGGAGTAGAGGGTGGGGGATCGAGGAGGAGGCGTATTAAAAGAAGCAGTTCAAGAAATTGTGTGGGTATAGCATTGGTTGAATTATTTATGTTCAAGTTCCCCAATATACTGGTAAAAAAGTAGAGAAGAGTAAAAAAATAATGCACTAAACTCATTTGGTTTAAAATGTTAGTCCCTAAACTAATTAATACTAATTTCAGTAACTCCAATTATTTCTCATATTCTTACGAATTAAATTAAAAATCTTCAAGTCAAATTCTCTCAACTCTTGTTGGTCATGATCTAGGTCACTAAATCTGTTAAAGGAAATATACAAAGAAAAATGGAAGCAGCCCATTTAAATCTCCACAAAGCAAAACTGCAAGATATTTTAGAGCTCATACCTTCCCCAAACAAGTTAATTCTCTAAACACTTTACTTATTCTCTCTTAGATACTTGTTAATAATTATTAGAATTTTTAAAACTTTATTAAGAGGATAATTAGGTAAGCTGAAACAGGGCAAGTTTTGGTCTCTCAAAGTAATACTAGTGATAAAACAAATTCCTTGGAAGTGATGATTATCAACCATGCATATTTGATTAACATTCTTATGAAAACATAATTGGGTGATATTTCTCAAGCAGGCATTATTCTTCTTTGAAAAATAATTATGCATTGGTATCGTGAATGGCTTCCAGTTCCCTTTCCCCAAGTACAAACTTGTTCCAGAAGAAAATCAATGAAAGCTGAACAATGTAAGAAGCTAAACTGAATTATTTTACAGAAAATTAGATTCTTATGAAATAATCTGCTCAAGTGTGAAGAGCTTTTGAAGGAACAATTAGGGAGTGATGGAAGTGGCTCAACATTGTGCTGCACAGACCCTTGTTCCAAGGATTCCAAGCTTAGGCTACCATAGTAATATGGATCAGTTACATAATTTATTAAATACATTTAGAGTTGCAAAAGAAAATCTAACCTTTTAAATACTGCTTCAATGGGAAAAATATATTTTAAGTTCTAAAAGAAGTTATCTTACAAATAATCCACTAGAATAGAAATTATTTTTATATTAAAGATGACATGAATAGATATGAGTTAAAAGTCTGGGGAGAGGCCTCTGCAGCAGTGGGTTCTCTAGCCCTTACTAGGAAAGGGTTGGCCACGTCTGCATACCCAGAGGGTCCAGGTGGAGTTGGAGAGTCAACATCCTCAGGGACATCTATCCAGTTTTCAGGATCCCTTGTCATCCCTATCAGGTGCCCTGCCCTTCACATGATAGACCTGCCTGGGCTGAGCATTCAAATGCCTCTGGAGCTCTGCGACTCTCATGATTAGGTCTCCAGCCTGCTGTTCTATTGTGTCTGCCCTTCCACTACTTGTACAGAGGACCTCTTAAGAGGCTATACCCAAGGCTCTCTGGTTTCACACTAAGCTAACAGTTCTCAGTCTCTCATCATCCTTATGCAGGGTGTCAATACAACTTAGCAGTAACCCCATATTTTTCAGATACCTGCATCACAGCTTCTTTCACAGTATTCCACTTGACCAGGATTTTCCTAGGTCACCATCAGTGAAGTCTTTAGTAATTGAATTGTCACCCTGGGCCAGTCTATTGATGTCACATCTACCAATCAAGACAGATCCTTTGCCTGCCGTGCAGAGAATGAGCCAGTCACAAATCATCATCTTACCTCCTGTTTTCTCTAACCACTGTCAGTGCTCCTAGTTTTAGACCTGGTCTTCAGAGAATCAGACACCAAGATGGGATGAAATGTACAACGATCACGCTATTGGAAATGCCTGTGTGAGAGGAAATAGGGAGGGAGCTGGAGGAGGTGCAGATAGTCTGAATGCAATGCAAGTCTGAGCCCTAGTGAAGAGGGGAGGGAGAGAACGTTGGCTGGAAGTGGAAGCGTCCTAGGCTGTCGTGCAGGAAAAGTTTGGCAAAGCCATTAGGGAAACTTAAGCCAAAGTAAGCCAACAGTGGAGTCCCATGTTTCACAGGAATGGGTCTACCTTAGTATCTCCACTGTACTTGATCATGAGCAGGGAACAGCCTTTGGGAAGTGTGGTCTTGATATAAAAGCAGAGATGGATTTCAAAGCCCAGCACCTGGGGTCTTCTGTAAATTAACCTCCTGTCCTGGGGAGTCTGTGAGATGCATTGTCTGAGACACCACACTGTCTTTTCTTAAGGGCATTTCAGTTTTTCAATAGGAGAATCCTCCAATCTCTTACCCAATAAGGTTTAATTCCAGCTGCCGGTTTTCTGAGAGTAGGGCAGGGGAAGAAAGCTGAGAGTTCCATTATTCAGGTTGCATATTTTCATTTAATCCTATCATTCTTAGACCTGTACCTCATTCACCTTTCTCTGCATCTGAAGCCCCAAAGGACAGAGCTCTTGCAGTTTAATTTCTCAAGAAAATAGACTCCTAACTGAAGGAGAGTACCCACGCTACATGGGGTGGCAGAGGGGTCCCGGTGGCAACTGCTCCTTTTGTATGTGTTCAGTTAATCTCCCAGTTTTCAGCTCCTTTCTCACCCCCACCTTCGTCCGTACCAGACACTGCCAAGCTCCATGCATGAAGCAGGTCTGAAGAGTGACTGCCTTGTTTTCACTGTGTCCCTCTCTGCAGCCACTTTGTTGTTGTCTCTTCAACTTCCAGTCAGTTACTAGTCTTCCAGCTACAGCCTTCCACAATTTGTCTAACTCTCTCACCTGCTGAGATTTCCTTCTCTATTCTTCTTATCCATTCACTTCAATTACCAATGATCATTTCTCTGCTAATAAATATCATGTCTAATTCTAAAAATAGGGCCCTGGGTGCCTATTCTTAACATTTTCTTGACGCTTCACAGTCAACCTCACAAAATTATGATTTTACTTACACAAATTGTACACCAATAAACTCCATTTTTTTAATGGCACCAAGCACAGTTTTCCCATTTTACATGGGCCATTTGGATTTGGTTAGATGAGAGTTCATTAGAAATTTTGAGCTTGGGAAGAAGAGCATAGGTTTGTGAGACAGGAACATGTGGGAGTGAACATACCAAATGAAGAACTGTAGTAGCCATCTGAAAAAAAAAATTTCCTAACAGAGCTGAAGCCCTCAGACACGTGCTGCCTCCCTTATTAGTTTCACACCCAAAAACGTGTTGACTAAAATGGGAACCATTCCAATTAAGTAAATTTTTTAAAGCACAATAATCTTAATACTTCAGTAATATTTCTTTAATAATTTTATACTAAAACTCTATGAATCCTAAAATAGATCACATTTGAGATTAACAACCTGCTCTGATATTTGAGTTAGAAAATTCACTAATTTTTTTATTTAAAAAATTTTATACTGTACTAATTTCATAAGCCTTATAGATACCATGCAGAAAATGTATTGCGCAGCAACGTCAATTTTACTAACTCCAAAATGAACTAGATATCTTAAAAATGATTTTATTAGAGGAACAGCCTCTCTCATCCCATCACTTCCAATTTTCCAGAAGACCCATAGCTTAATGTTCTTTATCTTTCCAAGGAGGTGTTTTTATCTGATCATATCAACAGTAATCATACTAGAAAACAGCAGCCTACAAAAACAAAGTAAAGCTAAATTGAAGACTCTACTAGAAAATAATCCACAAAAAATCACATGGAAAAAATTAATTCTTTTATTATAAAATAACTGTTTTGTTTTGTTTTTGACACTAATCAGTCTTAGCATTCCAAGCATATCATGTTTCACCTATGCTCTTGTTTTAATTTGCTTTTAAAAGGCCACTTTCTAAGAGTAAGAATGAGAAATTACTTTGAAAACGAACAGGGTAGGAATAAGAAATTTCAGGACATTATTTACATACCTGAAATAAAATATTCTTTGTTTTAGAAAAAAAAGTCCCTCTCCTCTATCCCAAGCACAAAGGAAGTTCTATCAGCTATATATTTTTAAAAAATATTGGTAATTGCTATGCTAAAGAACACACAAAAAGTACAGTTTAAAAAAAAAACGCAAAACACTCCATTGAATGCTTACAAGACAAAAACACGAGAAAACCATTTAATCACAGCTCCCAGATACTCAGTACTTTTCAAAAAAGGAAATTGCAACAATGAAAGAACACAGCATTCTTCATGGTTAATACCAAGTGCCCCCTTGTGGACAACACTGTCATTAAAATCTGTTTAAACTACTGTCTGATTCGAAGCTATACACCTGTCTCAAAACTGACCACTGATCTCTGGGGAGAACACATACCTAGTGAGGTCTACGACAGAATACCTCAGGAGGCAGACTCAGACTGAGTCTCCAGATTACCAGCAGACAGATTGCCCGTGGGAATTCCACTTCTTGCTTTGTTTCTACCACACTCTTGAGAATCCAAGACCCTTCAGTAATCCTTTCACTATACAGTTGACATATCACTTTAATCACTTTAATATATTTTAAATGCAATATATTAATGGGTATCAACAGTGCTTTAGGGTCATTAACTTTAATGCCTGGTTATCAATTTCTAAAATGTGTATTCCTGACTTTATTATTTATCATTATACAATGTAATTGATTTTCATGGCCCTTTACCAATTCCTCCCTTTCCCCCCTCTTTCTCCCCTTTTTCCCACCCCCGGCAACCTGTTCTGTTCTCTTCCCTTAACAAGCTCAAAGAATTATTGTGACTGTTCTCTGTTTTTTCCTTCTATTTATTTATTTTTATTAGCTCCAACATATAAGTGAGAACATGTAGTATTTCTCTTTCTGTGCTTGGCTACCTTCACTTAACAAATTTTCTCTAAATTCATCCATGCTTCTGTGAATGGCAGAATTTCATTCTTTTTTATAGTAGAGTAATGGTCCACTGTGTAAATATACCACATTTTCCTTATCTGCTCATCCAATGATGGGCATTTAGGCTGGTTCCAACTCTTGGCTATTGTAAATACAGCTGCAATAAATATGGGAGTACAGGTATCCCTTTGACATGATGATTTCCATTCCTTTGAGTATATACCCAGCAGTGGAATTGCTGGATCATATGGCAGTTCTATCTGTAGTTGTTTGAGGAACCTCCATACCATTTTCCATAACGGCTGCACCAATTTACAGTCCCACCCACAGTGTAGGAGGGTTCCCCTGTCTCTACATCCTCGCTAGCATTTGTTACTCTCAGTCTTTTTGATATTAGCCAGCCTAATTGAAGTGAGATGATATCTCAGTGTGGTTTTGATTTGCATTTCCTAGATGCCGAGTGATGTTGAGCATTTTTTCATGTGTCTGTTGGCCATTCTTATAGCTGCTTTTGAGAAATGCCTATTCAGCTCCTTTGCCCACTTTTTAATTGGGTTACTTGTTTTTTTGCTAAGTTGTTTGAGTTCCTCATATATTCTGGATATTGATCCTTTGTCAGATGCATACTTTGCAAATATTTTCTCCCACTCTGTTGGTTGTCTTTTTGCTCTGTTGATTATTTCTTTTTCTGTGCAGAAGCTTTTTAGTTTGATATAATCCCATTTGTTTATTTTTCCTTTTGTTGCCTGTGCTTTTGGAGTCGTATTCATAAAGTCTATACCCAGTCCTACTTCCTCAAGTGTTTCCCCTATGTTTTCTTTTAGGAGTTTTATAGTTTCAGGATGTATATTTAATTCT